TAGCAACTATACACGTGCTTTTGTCTGTGAATGTACTGTACATGTAAAGTGTGTGTCATTGGAAGCTGTCGTTATTTTGTTATTTCAGGCAATGGGGTTTTTTTGTCACTCCAGGATCTGTATTGTAAGGATGCCTGTGACAGTTGCTGATCACCGATAAACCAAGGCTACAAATATCCTGCAGAGTCTGTCTCTGTCTTTGTGCATGTCCCCTGCCGGTGCTCGTTCCGTTTCACAATGGGACCGGGCCTCCTTGTGGCGTCCCACTACAATTGTATTTGGTGGAATGCGAGACTTTTTATCCATTTGCGCGCCGATGTATTTTTAAGTCGCAAAGTTTATGTGGTTGAGTATTTCCCTCGTAGGCTCTTGAAGATCATAGCAGATTTGATGCCCAACGATATTTTCAGTTTTTTCTTTTATGCCAAATTTATAGACTGGATTTACGCCGTAACAGATTGTTTTTGGTATCATAGTCAACAGACTTTTTCTTTGCCGTCGTGATTATAAAAAAATGGACGAATAATGTGTATGTTTTTCACGCTTGTGTACTACGGAATCTACTATCACGAGTCTACTGGGGTCAAAGGGCCCATATACAACGTTTGGGTCTGCATTGTTGGCATCGAGACGTTCGTGGTCGTCGCTTACGATATAAGTTTGGTTTGACATGGTTCTTATTTTATATTAGATGTAATAATATTTTTTCATTTTTTTGCAGATTTAAACCATAGGTTAAACAGCTCAATATGCTTCTTCTAATGAACGTGCAAAAAAGACTTCGGGTAAAAGTAATGCTGGAGGAGTCACGTCTATCTACATCTTCGTCATATTCAATCATTCAGCCTAGTTTTTCTAAGTCTAAATCTAAGTCTACATCCAAGTTAACAAGTCGTCGCCGGGATCGGGATCATCGTCTCTTCTAAATCTCAGTCTTTTATGGCAACCGAATCGCTGTTGCTATCAAATATAAATATTACAAACGATTTATTATGTAAATCTTTACAGTTGATACAGTATTCGCAATCCGTACAGTTATCACATTCGATGCAATTATCACAACTAGGACAATCAAAACAGCTGTCGCAATTATTACAATCACGGGATTCTTGGCAATCTATGCAATTGATACAGCTTGTGCAATCGGTGCAATCAGTGAAGTTTTCACAATGTTCACATGCTCTGCATTCGGTGCAAGATTTACAATCGTTACAATTTTTACATCGATCGATATGATTAGAGTTTAATTAAACAATGTTTAGAATCACAAGCGTCTTTCACGCTAACGGATTTAGTTGTGTCTTTACAAAAGTAACAGTTTACGTCGTTTTTTTGGTCTGGCATTTCTATTTTAATTTTAGTGGTGGGAGATTTTTTTCTAATTTTTTTAACCACTATGATCAAACCAAATAATCGGGAACAAATATCTGATGCGGGTGATAAGTTTCGATACCGATGCTTTTGGCGCTGCAAGTCTTTGTTTCGCTTGCGCTATCAGGTCAGATTTCACCGTGGTGGAATAGAGGGTTAACCAGGCGGCGTGAGCTTAAGGACCATTTCGCGAATATAGCAGACGGATTCGTGGCGAAGTGGCTGTTACGCGACATAGAACCTCAATTGGACCCCAACCAGTTTGGCAACCGGAAAAAACTTTCGAATTATTCTTGGCAGACGTTTTATAAGTTATTAAAACTAAAAAAACCGTGCTAGGTATGGAAAACTTAGAAGAAAGGCGAGTTTCATTGTGTACTTCGTTCATGAAAAAGACAATAACCCATTCAAAACAGTTTCAGAATTTTCTTCCATCTGTGGAAAATGCAAGACAGTTAAGACATACTAAACAAATTCCAGAGCCTCGCTGCAGAATAACAAGAATGAGAAACAGCCCAATACCACCTTTGATACGACTCTATCATTGCAGAGTAATATCCATCCCTGCTTGAGTAGCAACAGCTTATTAATTGACCACTTTTAGTCTCTTGCATTTTATTATATAATGTTTACATGTTTAATGCAAATGTTATGTTTCAACACAATTTTTGTACTTTATATATACAGGTCATTACGAAACTGTTTTTTAAAATTGAATTTTAATAAAGAAGTTTATAATTTTAGCTCAAGGACTCATTATGTATTTCTTCCCTTAAATGTAATATTCAATAAGTGTTTTATTTGTCGTTTTGTGTCATAGTTTTGTGTTTCTTAGCTGTATAGATGTATGCATTGTCTTTTAGCCATATTTGTAAAATATTTAAACCATTGTGCAATTCGGCCGTGAGGCTGCGATATGATGTTTTTAAAATAAACCATTTAATAATAATAATTGCATGTCATAATTATTGTAGTGTTCGTAATAACGTGTTTATTCCTAATGGGATCCCTACTCGACAAGCACTGCTTCTATGGGACCCCATCCACAACCATTTTCCTTCCTGTTATATCCTTACAGCATATAATTAGGTGGAAATAAAGAATGACCGAACGGAATGGGTTACAGTTCATCTTGTGTTTACACAATGTAGGATTTTGAATAGTGCTTCCATCGACATGGAGGTCGTTTTGTCGCCTAACTCCTCAGGATTCTCTTTAGCTGGGTGAAAGACCAGTTTTAGCTGTCCAACTTTACTACCCACATTTGAATCAGGACCTATGGTAAAATCTGTGTTGACTAGCACTGTTTTTTAATGGACATCAATACAGTTACAGTAATTTTGCCAAGGGTCCATGCGGACCTCCCTGGACTAACTGCTGTTTTCTGCTTAAGTTGTGCTTCACAGTCAGTCACATTACAAATGATGAAAAAACGGAATGAAGTTCCTGTAATGAGCCGTCCACAGTTTCGCTTGGTAAAGCTTTTACTTAGACATGCATGGCTTAATTAAGGCTAATTGGCGTCTTTCAAATTGCCCTCCTCCTCAAATTCATGTTTTAATTGCGACAAATGGCGGCGCTGTTCGTGACGCAGGTTTCGGTCGGGCACCATTTCGTCCTCTGGAGTACTTCACGACGAGGAATATCGCGCGCCTCCGTACGTACCTGTACATGTATGTGCGATGCATACAGTACTACATTGCGTGGGGATGGGATCAGGTCAACTCCGACCAAAACCAACTCGGACCCATGCCAACTCGGACCCACCTCGAGTCAACTCGGACCCACTTAGTCTTATGGACTTATGCACTACACCAAATACTTTTTGTGAAAGAAATACTCTGAATCGGTAACTATCAATCCCAAATTCGGGATTCATATAAATAATTCTATGATCCCTCGTGATGATGGCCCGTCTTATTATAAAAAAAAGTGGGATAACAAAATATTAATAATGAGCTTGCGAGTAGACATACAACGCTTCAAAACTGTCTCCAAGTTTAAGACAATAGGAAATATTCCACATTTTTATTTTAAAATGATTTGATTTGTGTTGTTCGAAATTGCCAACCTATTTGCGTTATTTGGACAGTCAGTTTAGGCCTGTATAGATGAATTCCTCCATCTGCCTTAATTTTGCCGGTATTTGGGGGGATGGGGCAAGGTGGAGGTGAAAGACTTGCCAGGCCAAAAAGTGAGGTGGGGGATAACACCATCAGACACTATAAAAGGTTAATGTTCGTGATATTGATGTATATCTGGAGTATGTGTTGTACGCATGCAGAATCTCTTATGTACATCATAAGGGCTTATCTGTGGCTTTTATTGCAACAAAAACTTTGGGGGCAAGTTGGTGAAAGTTCATTCGATTTCTTCTGGTAATCTGGAGTGCCAAAAAAACGTCGGCGAAAGGGCGTCAATGATTTGGTACTGTCAATCACACTCCAAAAGCTGCTCCCATTGGTTGTCCCAAGCTCCCACTCCCCGATCATAGGGTTTCAA